TTTCATAATAAATATAATTCAATACTTACTTTTATTAGAAATCTATTACTTTCTTACTTTTACTCAAGTAAAAGTAATTCAAAGATTTACTTCTCTGCCTTAAAGCTTGAATGAAAGCAATAAATGCACGCAAACTCACAAATGAAACTTGTGATGTGTGACTTTTATTAGTTTTTAGGTATTTTGTCGTACAAATATACAAACACAGAGTACAGACATTGCGTATAGATATTCAATGTGTGTGTGTACGTGGTATTTCCTGGTATATGGGGACCAAATGTCCCCACAAGTATAGCAATAGCAGTAATAGTAATTCCAGTGAGGAAACAAGCTCATAAATCATACAGAATGAAGTTTTTTGAAAATCTAATAATGCAGAAAGTTTTGTGTGAGGGGTAGGTTTAGGAGTAGAGTTAGGGTAAGGGGATATAAAATACAGTTTGTACAGTATAAAAAAAACATTATGCCTATGGAATGTCCCAATAAAACATTGAAACCTCAGTGTGTGTGTGTGTGTGTGTGTGTGTGTGTGTGTATGTGTGTGTGCGTGCGCATGTGTGTGTGAATGTCACTGATTCATACATGTTGCTGTCAGACGCATGAGAAGAGGACACGGGGTCAATGTAAGTGGTCTGTTCCAAAGACTGTCAACATTATGCTTTGGAATGTAGTGAAGTAAAGTTTTGCAAAGAAAAACACTCTGATAAACTACAGATACTTTTTAAATTGACTTGAGTAAAGTAAAAATACTTCACTACTGTCCGCCTCTGGTCTCAGGTCTAGTTTTGTTCATGTAACCCACTATTGATTAGTTTTGACTAAGTCTGTTTATGTTCAAGTTCAAGTCTTTTCAAGTTTATTCTGTATCTGTTTATTTGGTTTGTTTTTTTTAATAAAACTGCATTTGGGTTAGCAGTCCAAAATAAATTTAACGGATAACCTTTACAGGTTTATTCTACCCTTGAATAAGTCTGTATCCCACATGGGCTACCCCAGTCAAAAAAGCCTGGAGGTGCCACTGCTTGTGAGATGGATTTTAGACATTTGACTCAAATTCTTCCTGATATAGCATACCGGTAGATACTACAGATACTGAAAGGCCTCAATTCAGCCCCTCTATCGCCAGCTAAGACCACAACACAGACCAAAACAACTAGCAAAGATTGTAGCGCAGACACCCATTAATAAGACTTCTGCTCCTCTACTTTTATTCCTTTTGTTCTTGCTCTCAGTGGGTGCTTAAAGGCAATATTCAGTAAAATTCATTCATTTAGTAGTACTTGAAACTATTGAAAGAGGTTGCTGAATAATTTACCTTAATGACACTATGATATTCTGTAGAGCTGCTTTATATTTATATTAACGTTGTAATTATAACTGAAATGATTGATTCCTGAAATAAAGAACTTTGTGACACTGATGCTGTTTTTTTCTGTTTATTACAGTAAAGCTGCTTTAAAGGATTCTGTATAGCTTGTTTGCAGTCACGTAATACTGATGACACATGAAACTCAGCTAGAGGGCAGGAAGTGAAAAGCAGAATGGACGAGATGGAGGAAAGTCTGTACTGAACTGGTTTAGATACTATTACAAGAGAAAGGTACAGAAAATCACAATATAAGTTGGACGTGACCCTAATGTTATGATTCAGAAGCATGCTTATGCGATGCTTCTGACATGGGCTTACCTTTCTGAAAACCGAGGTTAACTGTAGGATCCCAGTCTACAGCCTTAATTTAATACTTAATATATACTTAATTAGGATTTAACCAAAACAAGTGGCCCATGGCTGGGCAACCCTGGTCTAGACACTTGACACTGAAGAAATAGACACAGGACACTGACATTGAGAAAAAAGAGGGGCATGAATATAGAAAATCAGACTTGTTTTAGTTGGGACAATTAATATATTAAGTTAATGTACAAATAGACAGAAAAACAGATTTCACAATAAGGCTTCTGATAAATTCATTTTAATCTGTATTCCTGTTAAAATAGGTCACATTTAGAGACTTACTTCAAGTAACAAAACCAGTAACAAAATAATTCATGTGTGTCAGATATATTTATACTTCTAAGAGTCAAATCAGTGAAAAATAGCTTATTGTGTCATTGCATAGAGCTACTATGCAGTGTGAGTCTATATTTAGAAGCAGCACAACTGGAGTGGGTTTGGGAAAGCCGTGCCTATGAAAGTGATAAGGCCAGGGAGGAGACACATATTTCAAGGATTATAAATTCCTGTCACACGGACACAAACACACACACACACACACACACACACACACATAAAGGCACATTCCTTGTCAGACAGGAGACATCCCATCGATTGCAGCTGCTTCTCATTCATACATGTTGCTGTCAGACGCATGAGAAGAGGACACGGGGTCAATGTAAGTGGTCTGTTCCAAAGACTGTCTTCCTTTCAAAAATTTCATTTATAAAAACACTCAAATGTGTGGGTCTTTTGGACTTTGTTCCAACCCCATGGAATTAAAAAATATATAAAAATCTTGCCATTATCTCAAATGTTCTTCCTTGACATCTATTAGATTAAATGGAGATCAAATGGAGACCTGTGCTTTCCATGCTTCCACTGAAGTTTCATAACAACAATATCCCAATCTGTTCTAAGGTATGTCAACTACAACAAAGTATGAAATCAAAAGTCATGTTTTTTATATAAATACATTTTAGGAGAAACATGGAAGACAGAGTTGATACTTGCATGAAACATTACGGAGAACTTCATTAAATATTCTGATACCTCAAGCAAGATCACTTTCCTAGTAACACAGATAACTGTATTTGCTGTTTTTGTGAAGCAGTGCATGTTGCTTTCACAATTCCTATTTTTCGACTATATTGTGCTTGCATACTTTGAGACTGTTAGCTCACATTCTTGCTAGCATTAATATTGGTTTTTGTTTAGTAAAAGATTCTGATCACATTTAAGTCAATATAGGGTTGAGCTGCATATAATAATGAGATAAGCAGTGAATGACTGATAAGTTTGCAGTGGTTCCTCGACTGAGACTTTGACTCAAGGGGAAATTGTACTATGCTTTCCTTCCTTCTTTCTTGTTTATCCTCAAAAATGTAATTTTTTACATTTTTTCTTATTTAAAGACTCCATGAAATAGTTTTATAAGCACAGTTTTCATTCCTGTGTCCTGTGCATTGGATGGGAGATACAGGTTGGGCTTGTCCTACCACAGACAGGAACCAATATTTTGCTGCTTGCAGTTTGGCGGAAGGTATTAGGAAGGACACTGTCTTTCTAGAGAGTATTGGACCAACATTTTTATTTGCCCCGTGAGCAAGATATGTCATAAGTATTTTTGAACTGTTTCACAGGAAAAAAAAAAAGAATAAATTTTGAATGTGCTACTGCTAAAGTGTATATACTAGCATATAGATGGCCTCAAAGCTAACAAACATGGACTAAAATCCGCAAAACTCAAATTATGATTTAATATTGCCATTTTTAAAGACATTAAGCAACTACACAAAGTTAAACATATTTGAAAACGTATTTAAATTCCCCTGCAATTTCAATTAGACAGCTCTATTGGTTAAAGGGGTGTGTCATTAAATTTTCATTGATTGAACACTGAAAATAATCAGTGTCTGGGGTTACAATGAAAATATGTGTGATTCAGGTTTTATCAAAAAGAACATAACATCTCCTCAGTAATTACTATAGCCACAGTAGTACACAGCAGTGCTAGCATCAGACAGTACAGTTGAGATTAGGTTGGACCCCTGCAAAGGTACATGGGGGACCCCATAAGCGAGGCATTGCTCAAACTCCACTTCATCCACCATTTCACTAGAACCTTGAATCTGAGCTGCTGCAGGGGCCTGTGAGTGTGGCTCAGGAATGCTGTGCTTATATGTGTGACGGTCAACAGGCAGTGACAATTCCTCATAAGGACGCTTCAACTGAGAGTTGGACCTATAATGGTCATCTAAAGTTGAAGGACAATTCAGGTAATCAGGAGGCATGGCTTGATGAGAAGAAGAGCTTTTGTTAATGATGGTGTGAGATATCGGGTGGGTGATGGAATTAAGATGTGTACCAGAACTGTGACTGGTTTGTGGTTTGGTACTCTCATTAAGAGTTTGCTGTGGGTGAGCATTGTTCATTATATTAAACTGTGTATTGCTGGAAGTGTGTGAGTTAGGATCGGTGTGTGTGTTGATGTTGCAGTGAGTAATGCTGTGAAAATGTGCGTTTGTGAGTGATTTCATGCTAGTATGACCATGCATGTTGCTGAGAATGTTTGTGTTTTCCTGAAAGTGGTGCTCTTGGTGGTTATAGTAGCTGTATGCTCAGTGGTTCCTCGACTGAGACTTTGACTCAAGGGGAAATTGTACTATGCTTTCCTTCCTTCTTTCTTGTTTATCCTCAAAAATGTAATAATAATATAAAAAGTAATAGAGACTCTGTAAGGTTATTTCTATACATCTCATTTTATGCTGAAAATATTTACAGTTTTCTTATTTAAAGACTCCATGAAATAGTTTTATAAGCACAGTTTTCATTCCTGTGTCCTGTGCATTGGATGGGAGATACAGGTTGGGCTTGTCCTACCACAGCCATGAACCAATATTTTGCTGCTTGCAGTTTGGCGGAAGGTATTAGGAAGGACACTGTCTTTCTAGAGAGTATTGGACCAACATTTTTATTTGCCCCGTGAGCAAGATATGTCATAAGTATTTTTGAACTGTTTCACAGGAAAAAAAAAAGAATAAATTTTGAATGTGCTACTGCTAAAGTGTATATACTAGCATATAGATGGCCTCAAAGCTAACAAACATGGACTAAAATCCGCAAAACTCAAATTATGATTTAATATTGCCATTTTTAAAGACATTAAGCAACTACACAAAGTTAAACATATTTGAAAACGTATTTAAATTCCCCTGCAATTTCAATTAGACAGCTCTATTGGTTAAAGGGGTGTGTCATTAAATTTTCATTGATTGAACACTGAAAATAATCAGTGTCTGGGGTTACAATGAAAATATGTGTGATTCAGGTTTTATCAAAAAGAACATAACATCTCCTCAGTAATTACTATAGCCACAGTAGTACACAGCAGTGCTAGCATCAGACAGTACAGTTGAGATTAGGTTGGACCCCTGCAAAGGTACATGGGGGACCCCATAAGCGAGGCATTGCTCAAACTCCACTTCATCCACCATTTCACTAGAACCTTGAATCTGAGCTGCTGCAGGGGCCTGTGAGTGTGGCTCAGGAATGCTGTGCTTATATGTGTGACGGTCAACAGGCAGTGACAATTCCTCATAAGGACGCTTCAACTGAGAGTTGGACCTATAATGGTCATCTAAAGTTGAAGGACAATTCAGGTAATCAGGAGGCATGGCTTGATGAGAAGAAGAGCTTTTGTTAATGATGGTGTGAGATATCGGGTGGGTGATGGAATTAAGATGTGTACCAGAACTGTGACTGGTTTGTGGTTTGGTACTCTCATTAAGAGTTTGCTGTGGGTGAGCATTGTTCATTATATTAAACTGTGTATTGCTGGAAGTGTGTGAGTTAGGATCGGTGTGTGTGTTGATGTTGCAGTGAGTAATGCTGTGAAAATGTGCGTTTGTGAGTGATTTCATGCTAGTATGACCATGCATGTTGCTGAGAATGTTTGTGTTTTCCTGAAAGTGGTGCTCTTGGTGGTTATAGTAGCTGTATGCTGACTGATGTTGATTGTCCTGAAGATGGGCAAAAAACTCGTCCATAGAAGAGGGGTCGGGTGGAGGCAAGCTGTAGGGCTCAAACAAAGTCTGGGTCTCACAGTATAGAGGCAGCCTAGCTTGGGGCAGTTCTGAATATCCAACACTCATGCCCTCCATGCCCAGAGGGTTCTGAGCATCCCCCTCCCCATGAAGCACAAAGCTGGAGTCCAGTCGTTTATGTCGTTTCACCTTTTTACGACGCCGTGGCCGATATTTGTAGTTTGGGTGGTCTTGCATATGTTTCACTCGGAGACGTTCCGCCTCCTCAACAAATGGACGTTTGTCCACTATTGGTAAAGCTTTCCATGACTTACCTACAAATAATATGAAAGGGAATATAATTAAATTATTAAATGAATTCAGCACGTTCAAGAGACTAAACATTTATAAAAACAATTTCAGAAATACATTGTGGACTGCACACTGAGCATTTTACATAGTAATATCTGACAACATGCTTGATATTTCAGCATAATATCTATGGATGAATATATCTGATTTATTCTAATTTATTCTATTTATTCTATTCCAGAATTTGTGTATATAATAGTTCCTTATCACACTTAATGATACATAATTTCATACTACCTGCAAATAACATTATTATAAAGCAACAATGGACAAAATATAAACCAAACATTTTAGAGCAGTAAAAAAAAAGTTTATTTTAAGTCATAATATAAATATAAATTACATTAAAGATTATATTATAAAGCTAAATGTCAACTTTGGTGTGTGGTTCACAGTCAGCATTTCTTATTCACTTACAATTGCTTTAACTTGTATAGCTGTATAGATTTTAGCCATTTTATCATAGACACATCATTTATAGTTTTAAAAAGTGCTAAAATGAGTAAGTAATATCAAACTGAACTAAAAGTGTTGCAGATAGTTGCTTAAAATATTTTGTTTACACATGGAAAAAGCTGTAGGCTTTACACATACATGCTGAATGACAATATGACATTAGCGATGCAATGAATCTACTTTTATATCACATTGGGACAATAACTTCCATATGTAATGCGTCTGCGTAAAGTCGAGTTTTTGTTTTAAATTTGACGCCAATATGGATATTTCCCACATTATTATTATTATTATTTTCAAACTGTATTTATAAGCTTGATTTATAGACTTGATGATTTATAAGCAATGCTTTTTTTTATTTGAATAATTCTGTTAAAAGCTGTTTAATTGATCTCTATCTTTTAAATGAATACATTTTACATAATGCAAAACATATGAAACAAGCAAAAAGAAAAGAAAAGAAAGAAAATAGATTAAATGCACAATTATTATTTTTTTAAAATCTCTACTCACCAAGCATTTTACTCAGCTCTGCATTGTGCAGATCTGGGTTTTGCTGCGCAAGCCTCTTGCGTTCATCTTTCGCCCACACCATAAATGCATTCATCGGCCTGCGGATGCGCGGCTCGCTCTTTCCGCGCCCCGGACCCGCTGAAGAACACGCCTCGTGTTTTGCTTTCGTGTCAGAAAGCGGACTGAGCGGGTCCACCCACGCGCACTGCCTCATGCCAGACATCAAGACTGAGCTAGTGCCTCGGGTCTGGTTCGGGTCGTCACTGGCGTAACCCGCATCGGGACTGCTCATCTCCTACACGCACGGGCGCGTATCCTTGGTGATCACTGATGAAAGTCGACTGTAGCCTCTGGTTGACCGAAACAGCTTATCATTTAATGTTCTTTGCTCAGTTTCCCTTCGCTAAACGCATACAGTATATTCAACAGTAAGTTCAGAAGTGCATAGCGAGTTATCAGGCAGCTTTAAACTCAGCAGCCACCAATCGCGACCCGGGTGGGCGGACCGCGAAATAATCCTTATTCAGAGCGTTTCGACTCACGGGAGACAAGACTGCAAAAAAACCTTTTCGGGAGGTCAGCTTTAAAAAAATAATAAAACAAAACAAAACAAAATAAAATAAAATAAAAAGGACGAAAGGACGAATCTGTTGCCTCACATGTAACATATAATGAAGTTATGGTTCCGACCTAATTTATCCCCAAAATACATTGCTTGTATAGCTTTTAATTTAACTTTTAGCTACTGCAGCATTTAGGAAACTTATGAAATGCATTTTTTAATAGGCGGCTTATACTACAAAAATTTGTATTTATAACGAAATAAATTAAAATGAATAGCTACAAGCACGCATTTATTTTATTTTTATTTATTTATTTATTGCAAGAAATAATATCCATCTCTAAGTGGTCCTTTGAAACTGCAAACTTTTTTTTTCCAAACTTTTTTTAGTTTTGTTGTTGCTGGTTGGCACGTATTAAGGTTTAAATATTTGTTATACAGATACAGATACACAATAAATGCAAAGTTTGGTTTAGGATTAATATCCTGCCAGCAGATGTAGCCTACCTGAATTTGCAAACAGTAGTAGTAATAAAGGATTGTCACGCACTAATAATGGCATGCCAACTGGCAAGAGAAAGGTGTTACACTGTATTGTATGCAGTGTATTATGTTAAAGGTACTTTCAATTTCTCGTACCGTTGAATTAAGTTGTAGTGGGCTTTACCATTAGTGTTTGTTGGAGGACTGGCTCTAATATAGTACAAAGTAGTTAATGTAAAGTGTTCTTAAAAATCTTTAGTTTAAAATTAATAAGAGAAACTGTAAAGTGTTTTATTTTGACATCTGTATGCAATTTATATTAATAATAAATTAATTATATTAATAAAACTATTTATATAATATTGGGGCAATATTTCTGTTACCATGGTAAAGGAATCACTGTGGTAAAAGCTGTAATGCAAGGCTTCTCGGGGCTTATTGCTTTAATGGACACTGTAAAAATATTCATGTAAATTGAAAATGTTCATGTTTTGAGAACTAAAAAGTCCCTATCTACTAATGTGCAGTGTTACGGGAGCAATTGGGAACTTTACCAAACCACATCCTGTTTTTGCTTACCTTGATTTGAATTTTTACTCTCTAACTCTTAATGTTAGTTTGGCTACATGTTTGTATGCTTACAGGAGAGCATTTTATTTTTCTTTCTTTAGTGTGTCAGATTAGCACATTTGCTAGAGAATCAAAACTCTAGATTCACCAAAACACAAAATCACTGTCCCCCCTATCATACACATAAAACATCAACTCACCCCACCATATCATACACATAAAAACAACAGTGTGTATTTTCACTGCATTCTGGCACAGAGCCAATGCCCTCCATACTGGCACTGTAATACATAATCTATTTTATGTCTGAAGAACCAATGGACTACATTTGCGTGTCTGTTTCATGGTGAGTGTGAACACATATACAGCTTCCGTCTGACTCATGTAAAAAAGTCCCCCGGCACTCAGAAGCCAATGCTATTGTGTAATTCCCCACAAAGGCTTGCCTGGCGACAGTATGTGTGTATATTCATGAGTGTAAGCCTATGTGTGGATCTGTCTGTGAGGGAGGGTGTGTGTGTCTGAAGGCGGACAGTATGTGCTCCTACGCCAAGGACAAGAAGCAGTTTGTGGGGGACAGGAAATGCAGGCTGAAGCATTAGTTTAGATAAGGGTGAGAGACCCCCCCCCCCACACACACACACAT